TCCTCTCCTCTATCCCTCTTCTATCCGCCTCCCACTCTCTCCCTATTTATTTCAAAACCCCCTTCCCCTCCCCCTTTTCTGATGAAGGGTCTAGGCCCGAAACGTCAGCCTCTCTGCTCCTATGATGCTGCTTGGCCTGCTGTGTTCATCCAGCCCTGCACCTTGTTGTCTACTATGGTTATACCCGTGTGTTAAGAAGAGTAAGTTTTGATTGTAGATGTTCAATATTTTTCTTCAATTCTTCTTTCTCTTCATTCATTCTTTCCCGGTCACACCGTTCCTTCTGAAAGTCTTCTTCAAATATCTGCACCTTTAACAGAATCCCAAACATTTTAACAGCTCATGGATATAATTTGGACGAACTAATTCTGGTCAACATTCTTGACTATCCACTGAAGAAATAACACAAGAGGGCTACATTATATAGGGCTGCAGGAGATTAAAATCTAGAATGCACAGAGCTCAGATTAAGAGCGTAGTTGTTGGGCCACTGGATATTACAGGGCAAGACCATGGAAAGATGTAAAATGAAGAATGTGTTTTTTTCTCTAACCTTAAATGCAGGAAATAAATATAAATGAAGTTAAAGGCAGGGTTATCTAAACTTCATACACGACCCCAACTTTTAATTCCATGAAAAACATTCAACATATTGGACATTACCTGTTGTTTTAGGACCTCAATTTGTGTTGTCAGTTCTTCAGGATGAGATTTTCTCATTATTTCTGTGCTATCAAAACCGTGCGACATACAAGGAACATTCTGCTTTCTTATGGCATCAGACAGAGCCTGAAAAAATAATAATTTTAGAGGCCTGAGACTAACAATCTCTTTCAATTGTGTCACAATAATGGAGACTAAGCTTTCGAACAAAAAAAGACTAGTAAGGAGCAGTCCAGTCTGACATCCTCCTACTGTCTGGTAGGGCATTTTGAAACTCCAGTCTGATGAGCTTATGTATCACAATCTGGACTCATTTGAGATAAGAATACCATTATAAATGTTTCCTCTTGCCAAATGTTGGTGAGGTATAACTCCACTGTGTTGTTTACAAGAAGAAATTGAGAAAATTTGTCAGAAAACTGCATCCTAAATGTGGGCCAAGCAGTTTAGTTAACTCCCTACTGATGAGGTAACTCAACATATTACTCGCCAGGCAGCTCATTAAGAACCAACAGGTAAACAAAGGCAAATGTTTGAGTTGCCAGAAGCTGCTGGTCAAACAGAGGGGGTTCGGCATCATGCAGGGGTGACCCAGATGTGAGCAGTGCACCCCTGAATGACATGTCCCCAGTTCCTTCCCACTTTTGTTTTTGGAACCCTTTAAAAATAGCTCTTGCTGTTAGCCCTCCTTAGAATTTAGCTCCAAACGTATTGCAGGCATGATCTTGAGGCTGGGTGGAAAGTTGCTAAGCTCCCGATCTATTTGATATGGCTCCTACCCCACCCTCGACCCTGCAAAGACCAGGCCCAGCAGGATGAGTAAAATCATATCAGTCACATATGAGGTTGTTGACTTGCTCGCCGAGCTGGCTTGTTTCCATTCAGACGTTTTGTCACCATGTTAGGTGACATCATCAGTGAGGCCTCTGACGAAGCAATGTTGTTCTACTCCACTTGGAATTTATACTGTCCAGTCCGTTATGGTGAGTAGTGTCATTTCCAGTTTTGATTTGTATGGGTTTGTATATGGCGTCCAATTCTATATGTTTGTTGGTTGCATTACGAGTGGAGAACCATGCCTCTAAGAATTCCCGTGCATGTCTACGTTTGGCATGCTTCTCAACCTGTAATGCAATCAACAAACATATAGACAACATAACTAAAAGTAGCCCAAGCCAAACATAGAAATGCACAGCAATTCCTACAGGCATGGTTCTCCACCCGTAATGCAATCAACAAACATATAGAATTAGACCCCATATACAAACCCATCCAGAACAAAACTGAAAATGACAGTCCTCACCATAACGGACCGGACAGTATAAAATTCCAAGCAGAGCAGAACAACATCACTTCATCGGAGGCCTCACTGATGATGTCACCTAACATGGTGACGAAACGTCTGAACGAGAACAAGCCAGCTCGGTGAGCAACTCACCAACCTCACCCACAAGCCCAGCTACAGATCTTTGCTAAAACTTTGATCAGTCACATATGTCTGAAAAAACACATCACTTTACTGATATGGACAGGCAAAGAAAATGAACTGCAAGGCACTTGCTACGAAGTCCTAGATTAGATTATAGAGTATAAAGGACACGTTAGAGGTTCCATTTGGGAACATCAGTGTTTGCAAAGTCTGGGACAAAAAACAGTCAAGGCTGGTGAACGTCCTGGAATAATTTCCATGGTTAGAGAAGAAAGTTAGATACACCTCCATTCATTTCTAACAACACAAGAATATTAAACATATTTAAGAACAATTAAAGACTCTCATATTCATGGTTAGGAGATCCAGTGACTAGAAAGTAAGGCTTTTTTTTCCCTTTTTCTTAGGTTGTGGGTTGGTGGTGAGAAGGAGGTCAAAAGCGAAGGAAGCAGAGTGACTTTCAGAGGCTGCTACTTTGCTTCAGATCCGTGCCTCTGATTATCCTGATTAGGGCAACTGAAGGACTCCCCACAACTTGGCAGGCAGGTCACCATGATTTCCCATTCAGGAAAATAACTACCTTTCACATCCGCCAGGAAGGCAGTTGGTGATCAGGGAGCTGGCAGATTGAGGCCCTGATGTGGCCATTAATTGACCATAAAAGGGCCTTAGTTGCTGATGAGTTGAGAGACTCGCTCTCTGACCTTCTCAGCCAGAGATGCTGAGAGTTGTTGTGTTTCTCTCCACAGCAAAATTTCCCCGATCGTTTCCCCTTATCAGTGTCTCTAGGGGAGGAGGTAATTTCACCGATCAAGTCACTGGTGAAAATCAGCAGCCAAATAGCAGTCATGTGACACCCTGGAAGAATTATAGGGGAAAGCCATTTTCAATCTCCACAATATTTACAAACACGCAAATTCAACCTAACTGCCAGAACTCTAACTGAATATCCTGGAAATTCAGAGTTGGTCATTAGGGAAAGAAAATTACTGGCAAAATAGCATGAAAAGAAGTGGGAAGACATCAGTATATTTTATGCTTGTATGTTTCATTGATGGAATAGAGTTACAATGATGGGTCTATATCTGAACAGTACTTTGTTTTTTCCCCCTCCTTAGGTACTGTTAGGCCTTCCCTATTTCTAGCATTTTGTTTTGATTTCATCTTGTCATTTATCACCTCACATTCTTGATATGTTTCACCCTGATAATTTACTGGCTTTGGCAATGAGGGTAAAATCTTATTGTTGTTATATTTATAATTTCAATTTCAATTGCAAAATTCAGCGGGAAGCAAACAAAATATGCATTGTGGTTCATTCTGAAATTATCACAGCACAATCTACTTTTAATCTGTTTATGCAGGAAGGCAACTCTCACTGTGGCACTTAGAAAGTCAAGAACTTGCACATAAATATATTCCATGTTTTCAGAACTTTAACAATAAATCTTCCACGAAGTACTTAAGGTCTCCTTTGTGGATTTCAGTGTTGTGTGAAGCAGTGGGAGACTGATATTCGAATATCAACTGGTGGACATAATCCAGTAATGGAAGGTACATCTGTTTCCTAGTTTTGGAGTGGTTACCAGTTACAAACTGATTGAGAATTATTTTTAATTTTCTTTTTCTATGAACAAAACACTGTGGTTTCTGACTTTAAACCATTTAACAAAAACAGTCCATTTTCTTTCTGCCTCACTATTTTCTTTCTACAGGTCTCTCATGACATATATTATTTCCCAAACCATCAGGGTGGGTCAAAGTGCTCCTAGAGTCTTACTGACATAAAAGGACTATGAAAATACAATGAGGGGCAGGTTAACCAGTCCTCTGAATTTCCTTGTCTGTCTTCTCCCACTTAAGAATGTTTCCATTAAAGTCCTCGAAAACATGACCTGGAGGCTTACAGGGAGGAATAAAAGAGATATTACAACACACACACACACACACACACACACACACATATTTAATGCCTGCTTCCACGTTGGTAAAGTACACAATCGTCAGAGACAGATTTCAGCCCCAGAGCTTTATATAAATGCCTAAAACGCTCATATTTCATGTACCACAAGACAAAATGCAGCACAGCGCTTCACAGCAGTTACCCAGATGTGAATTGAATAAAAAGGACATGATAAAGCTAAGAAGAGGCAATTTCCAAATGATAACATTTTGAAGACTATTAGTGAGACCATCCTGTCTTTCATTATGCTATCTATTGAAAACAAATGGGAAAACCCCTGCAATTAAATTTTACTGACACAGAGAGGTGGTGCCTGTTTACCTGTGCTTCAGCACCTTGAGGGCACAACAGAAGAGAAAGGAATTTTAAAAATCCTGCAAATGATTTTGTGATCATGAACAGGAAAAGCAGGCTTAGCGCTGAGAGACTGATTTGTTTATGGAGCTATTCTGCTGCACTGGTCAATAGATGAACATGCAGTTAAAAGGGGAAAAAAAAGTTGAAACTGTACTGACCTTATTCAGACGAGCAATTTCATGTTCATAATATCCTTTTTGTTTGGTTATTGAGGAGTGGCATTCTTTCAAATGTTTATTTTCTTCTTCAGCCTCAAGCAACTTTGCATTTAGTGTCTGCTTTTGTTCCTTTTTTTTCCAAAATGGGGAGGGAGGAAAAGAGAAGAAAAAACTCAATGTAACTAATAGGAAGACTAGATTTCAGGGAACCAGTTTCAAAATACTCAATGGTACACTTGGGAAGATGAACATAATATTAACTTTGCAACTGCTGTAGCTTATGAGTCATGTAAAATCCAAGGTTTCCATTAAATCAACTTGTCCCTTAATAATTATATATTAATAATTTTCAAGCCAATACTAGTAAAAAGCATACTTCTGCTGTTTCAAGTTTTGCTTTGGCAAGCAGCAACTTTTTATCGAAATCCCTCTGCTTCTGGTCCAGCTCTTTCTCTAGGTCACTCAGGGAATGTTGATAAGTGGTGAACTTATCTTTCAGCTGCAGAAAATGGAAGTCAATGAAGAACTCATTACATACTGCAATGAATATATCAATTAAATCAAACATAGAGGCTTGTGGCACAGAGGTGATAAGCCCAAGTGGGGACGATTTGTGATTCATAAAGAATCAAGAATCCAAATGGTCAAAGATGGACCTAAACATTCAGTTTTGGCAATTTTAATACATTCTAGATTTTCTACAAAAAAGTTTGTTTGAATGTAAATATAACAGAGGCGGTCAGATGAGGTTTAGTAGATTGATACCTGGAATGACAGGGTTGTCTTATGGAGAAAGGGTGGACAGACTGGGCTTGGCTTATTGGAGTTTCAAAGTGTGAGGGGTGACTAGATTGAAATGTATAAGATCCTGAACCGTCTTGGTAAGGAGGGCAAGGAGAGGATGATTCCCTTTGTGCACAGAGTCCAGAATCAGGGGGCACAGATTTAAAATGAGGGATCATCCCTTTAGGACAGAGATATGAAGAAGTAGATAGGTTCTTGTTAGGTGAGGTTATCAAAGATTATTGGGGGTTAGATATGAATGTGGAATTGGAGACACAAACAGATCAGCTGTGATCTTATTGAATGGTGCAGCTGGGTTGAAGGGCCAAATGGTCTCCTTCTGTTCCTACGCTGTATGTCATATTCGTCACATTCTTCTTTCTACCTTTCTACATTGCAAGCACTGAATTTCAATCCCAACCAAGGTTGTGTTCAAATAATTCACCCCTGGGCCTGTGAAGGTGTAATTCTTGATGAACTCACTAGGGGGTGTGCAAGAACAGTTTAACATTACATTCAGATACATACAATTACTTCAAAAGGGGTATTTATATTCAGACTATTATGGGCTTGGTAGGAAATTAATAAAATGCATTTTATGCACCAGTGTTCAAACTAAAACCAAGCATGTTTTAGTTTAGGCAACATACTACATTTCAATAGCCTCTAGGATTTCTATATTAGCAAGATTAATTTTAAGTACATGCACCATCCACACAAGGAATGTCACTAACAAAGAAATAAAAGCTGAGGAAATGTGGGTTTTTTACCTTCTGTTCATACACTGCCTTCATGTTCCTGAACTCCTGGTCCCACTGCTTGTTTATCTTCAGAAGCTGACAGGACAACAAATTCATTAGAAAGAAACATTTATTCCCACACAGCCTAAAGGTTAGATGTCTTAATTCTTTCTAACCTGTAATATTTTAAGTCACAAATACAATGTCCACTGACTTAGGAAACAATATTAAATAAAAACACAACTGCTTTGGAATCAGAGATTTGGAGGAGTGTAATTTCAGGATGTGCCACCACCATTTCTTTTCTTCACTTCCCTCCACCTTTCAGAATTCTGACGGGACTTCTCCAACGATATCACCTTGATCCACTCCCGAAATCACTCCCAACACCTTCATTCTTTCCCATGGTACCTTCCTGCGCAAGCACTGGAGATACCACATCTGTCCTTTTCTCTCTTCACTTTCTATCTTTGAGGGCCACAAACACTCTGCCCAGGAGAAATAGTGACTTACTTGTGCTTCATTAAATATACTATACTGAATTCAAGATAGTGTCCATTGGGGAAAATCAAACACAGATTTGTTGATTAACTGGCTGAACATCATTGTACAATATTGTTGCAATATCACCCCGATTGGCATTTAATCTCTCTTGCACTCCACTCTATCACAGACCTTCCTTTTTATTCTCTCCTCAGCTCCCTGTACTTCCGTCCCTCTATATTTGCCTCAAGCCAGTTACATTTCTGACTTTGCCAATTCTGATTGAAGATCAATGACCTGAAGCATTAATTTTGTTTGTCTTTTCACTGGCGTTGCCTAACATGCTGAATATTTCCAACGTCCCTTGTTATTGTAATTATAGGACATCCTACCAATGAAAAGACATCGTCAGCTTAATTCTAACTAGCATGATATTATAGAAAGTAATTTTAGTACCTGAAATAAAGTCTAGAAAAACTCTTCCATCTAAAGGAAGTTTATGCAAACCTGCTCTCTTTTCTTCATATAAATTCTCCTAAACATATTCATAACCATCCACTCCACCTTATGTGGCATTTGTCTCATTACTGTTAGCCCTACCTTCAAATAACTAGGCCCTAAGCATTAGAAAAGCCCCCTCCCTTATCCACTCTGCCTCTTCAATTGTTATCTTCCTTTAACAAGGGGAGGTAATGGCCCAGTGGCACTATTGCTGGGCTATTAATCCAGACACTCAGGTAATATTCTGGGGACCTGGGTTCAAATCCTGCCAAAGCAGATGGTGAAATTTGAATTTAATTTTTTAAAATCTACAATTAAATGATGACTATAAATCTGTTATAATTCCAATTGCTGGAAAAACCCATTTGGTTCACTAATATCCTTTATGGAAGGAAACTGCTATCCTTACCTGGTCTGCCCTACATGTGACTCCAGACCCACAGCAATGTGGTTGACTCTTAACTGCCCTCTGGGATGGCCAATAAATGTTGGCCTAGCCAGTAATGGCCTCATCCCGTGAATAAGTAATTAAAAAAAACTTCCTTTAATGCCGTCCCTAAAATCTCTTCCTTTGCACAAGCTTTTAGTCAGCACTTCTAATGTCTCCGTCCTTAACTTGACATTGATTTTTGTCTGATATATACTGTGTGAAGTGTCATAGGATGTTTTCCTTGTGTTAGTGAAAGAGGATATGAAATAACAGCAAGTAGGCCATTTGGCCCTCCAAGTCTGATCTGCCATTCATGGCTGATCTAATTGGGTCCTTAACTCCACTTTCCTGCCTGTGCCCATAAACTTGACTCCTTTCTAGATATAAAATCTGTCTTAACCCATCCTTGAATATGAATGACCCAACCTCCCACACTCAAGAATTCCAAAGATTAACAACTTTTGTAGGGAATAAATTTGTCATCTCAGTATTAAATGGGAGACCTATTGTTTCAAAGTGTGCTCCCAACTCTAGGTTTCCTTCCAAAGGGAAACATTTTCTCATATCTACCCTGTCAAGACCCCTCAGAATTGTATATGTTCCACAAGATCACCTCATTGTTTCCGATTTCCGACGAGTATAGGCCCAAACTGCTCAACCTCATAAAGCAACCCTTTCATCCTGGGAATCAAGGCAAGAAAAGTTCTCCGAGACGTCACCAATGCAAGTTGTTGTCATCTGCTGTTCGTTGGATTTGAGGATGTCATCTATTCAGGACTGTGCTATGGATCTTTATATGACTGAACAGGTTGATTCGTGACTCACTGATCTTTGGGCAAATCAGGTAGAACTTCTCATAAAGTAGTGAGATCCTGAGTGCAGCATTTACTTATTTTCTCTGTTGCCACTCTGCCTGATCATTAAGGCCTTCAGACCAAAACGTAAGTATGCTCCTTCTTAAGTAAGGAGACCAAAACTGTTTGCAATGTTTCAAGTTCCAAGTCTCGCCAATGCCCTCTACAGTGGTAGCAAGACTTGATTGTTTTTATACTCCACGTCCCTTGCATTAAAGGCTAACATCCCACTTAAATATAATATGCAAATATACGTTGTGATTCAAATAGAAGACTGGAGTGCAACAATTTCAAACTTAAAATACCTCCTTTTTCTGATTTTCTAAAATCAGAATCTGTCTTTCAAAAGCTTCTTTTCCATCTGTGGACAGACTCCTCTGGTTTTCGATTTCCATTCCAATCACATTCTACCAGGAAAGAAGACAGAAGAATCTTTTCATTCTCTCATTGCTCATGGATCCTTCTAGTTTTGCATTTTATGGTGCTCACACACATTGTATGTTAAATGTTTTCAACATTCACAATCCAAATTCCTTTCTCGTGCGCGCAACATTAAATGCAAAGTAGAACACTTATTTAAATGAAGGTAACATTTCATTATTCCTGTAGCAAATCAAACAAACATTCTGTGGTATTATGCTAGGTTGCCATGTTCTTTGGCTTCCATGTACATTTATTCGATATTTTGTTTAGATCACAGTAGAGGAAGCGAGTTGGAGCAAATATTGTGCCCATTGTAATAGCAATCATCTGCTAATGTTAATTTAACTTGTACACATACAAGCGCGCTCATAAATTCACAATGAGTTAAGTGCCTCAAATAGCATCAATAATTTCAGCGTATGAACACATACACAGATAGATATAATTGCCATCTTAACCACACCGTTACTCTGTCAAGCCCCATATTTGATTACATAAATTAATGGCTCCCTTCACTGTGGGTCTGTTGCTTTCTCTTTTCCCCGTCAATACTTCCTCTTCATAAAGCTCACCCTTGACATTTGCAGCCTATTTATGGCTTTATCTTTCACCTCCCTCTCTTCTCCAAAAATGTTCAGTACGTTACTATTTGCAGGTCTATGTTCCCTTGTGGTTCCCTATGCTTTCCTAGTTCCTTTCATCAGTCCAGTCACTGACCATCAGCACTTTAACCTCTCATTTTCCCCTTCGCTTATGAATGGTATTATCATGCCATCCTCTGCACATTATCTCTGCTTTGTAGGCTAGTTGTTCCTCACATTATTTTAGTCACTATATTTTTCTTAGCTGATCTGCACTGGTGCTACTTTGCTATTAAAAATACCTCATCCCCCACAGGCTCACCTCTACCAGACTCTACAGCCTTGTCCACATTTATAACCCTCTCATACTCACTAATCTTCTGACTCAGCCTGTGAATTCTGAACACCCTGCTTTTCCAGCATCACTGACAAAAATTTCAGTCATTTAGACTCGACCTTTTACAACAGCCACACTAAAGACACACAACGTCTCTTAATGATCAATTAGGGAACATTATCTGATTCTGTCGAGGTAAATTTAGACTGCTCTTGTTAACCGTATAATTCTTATCATTTTTCTTAAAAAAAAAACTCACTAGCACAGTTCCATAAGAACAAAAGTGTAGTTACATGCAGACTTACAATTACTATCTTTTGAGAAAAGCAAAAAGGTTAATCCAATATTTGATGCTTTAGCCCTGTAAGGGATAGGCTTTTAGACTAAGGTGTTCAAACAGTAGCAGATCAAAGTAATCATGTAATATTAAGACACTTTACTTCTTTACTATAAATTTACCCACCTTTATATAGTCTCTGCCTTTCATCTGAAGCTCGAGTTTATTTACTATAACTTTTGGGGCTTTGCAAAGTAAAGACAAAAGCTGTGTATTTACAGCTCCAATCCGATACAGTGCACTGATACAAAGGTAGGCACACCTAAGCTTTTGTATGATCCCAGTTTCTTTACCTTATTTCAAACCACACCAGATTATATAAAGGAGACTTCAACATTTTTGATCAATGACAGTTGCTATGAAACAGGTCAGGGCTTCCCAGTATGTTGCAAACTTGTTGCGCCTTGCTGAAATGACTAAGGTATATACACAATCAACACGACCTGGAAATTACAATAGCTGACAAATCTGCTAGCAGTAGTTAAATTGGGCAGCTGCACAATGGCAAAAGTGTTGAACTTTAACTCATTTATAAAAGAAAAGAATCGAACAATAAAAGGAAGCAAAAACACAGAAATATTTCTCTCCATAAATGCTGCCAAGCCTACTAAGTTTCTCCAGCATTCTATTTATTTGCAGTATTTGGGTTAATAATAAAAGGCCCCATTTTAATCTGATAGGCTTCATTGAAGAATATAATCATCACTGCTCAGCCTTGCATCAGTCCAGGTGAGTACTTAACATCCAAAAACAAAGGAGGAAATTCCTTTTTGTGTTGGAGTAGAATAGAAAGAAACAGCATCTAGTCCTGTAAAAAAGATTTTTTCCAGAGATGAAGTAGAGGACAGCAGAAGTAAGGAGAGGTTAACTTAAGCATAGGTAGATAACTGATGTCACAAATGAACTACAGTGGAGTTGAGAGATAACACAGTTTGGAGCTGGAGGAACAAAGCAGGTCAGGCAGCATCAGAGGAGTAGGAAAGTTAACGTTTCATGTCAGGACCCTTCTTCAACATTTCTGAAGGGTCCTGATACGAAAATGTTAACTTTCCTACTCCTCTGATGCTGCCTGGCCTGCTGTGTTCCTCCAGCTCCACACGGTGTTATATCTGACTCCAGCATTGGCAGTTCTTACTATCTCTGAGTGGAGTTGAGAGGATGGCCAGGAGGCAGACAAATGTAACACACCCGGACTGCAAATCTCTTTGGCTACAAGCAGCAGCAGAAATGTGGAACCATCCTATTTGTGACCAACAGGTCAGAGGGTTTATGAATAGTCAGCAAAACCAAAACAAATTTGGGGCTGTTTTCACTTATAACTGGTCCTCAAATACTCAAAACCAGCTCCGTAACATGTCATTCGAACGTGTAACACCAGGCTCTTGAAACAATGCTCAACGTGAAACTCGGGCATGGCAGCCCACTCCCAGCAGGATAGAGGAAATGCTTTAAGGAAACTCTCAAAGCATAGTCGAGGAAATCAACCATTCCTCCTCTCCCTCCACAACTCGTGGAAGTCCCTGACCTGTGGCCAACTGGGGCAGGGTCTGCATTTTACACTTGGACCTATCAGCCATCTCAGAATCCATCAAACTAGAGAGTGAAAGTAAGTGATCCTCAATAAAGGAAAGTCAGTCTAAGAAGCAGAATGTAACTAGCAACCAGGGAGACAATGGCCTAGTGGTATTATTGCTAGACTATTAGTCCAGAAATTTGGCTGATATTCTGGGGATCTAGGTTCAAATCTCACCAGGGCAGATGGTGGAATTTGAATTCGGGAAAAATCTGGAATTAAGAGTCTAATGATGACCATAAATTTATTGTTGGGAAAAAACCCATCTGCTTCACTGATGTCCTTTAGGGAAGGAAACTGTCATCCTTACCTGGTCTGGCCTGCATGTGACTCCAGACCCACAGCAGTGGTTGACTCTTAACTGCCCTCTGGGCAATTAAGGATGGTCAATAAATGCTGGCCTAGCCAATGACACCCTTATTCCATGAATGAATAATAAAAAAAAACACTTTTGCATCGTACATACATATTGGATAGAGTTCCATATGGACACACAGGCTGAATAATGTAAGTGTGGGTTGGTGATTACAATGCAACAATATTGCTGTGAAATTGGAAAGTCAAAAGTAAAATCATACAAGTCAGAAGAAGTCCATCTCATTTGTACCACCAAAAATGCAGTACTACCTACACTTGTCCCACTACTGGCAGGGACCCTCCCTCAGTGGAAGTTTCAAACTGAGAATCGGATACAGAGGTCAGCATAGCAGTTTTGGGAGGGCCTGATTTTCAAGTTATTAAAATCCATAGCCAGAAAATCTATTAGACTACACCAATGTAATTAAAACTAGCTATATTCATAAAATCAATACCAATGAATGAGGAAGCTACATCTTGCAACATTCATAATGATTAATGAGCAAGTAATGAAGTTCTGCATTGATCTCATTTTTCACCATGCATTCCATTTATCTTTTTCTTAGAAAGATTATTTAATGTCCTCATTATTAGGTACACTGAAGCTACTTCTCACTTGAAGAGATGTGGGCACCACTATCACAACCAGCATTTATTGCCCACCCCTAAATTCCTTCAGTAGGAGATGCTGAGCCACTTTGTTGAACTGCTGCAAGCTATGGATGGCACAGTGGCTCAGTGGTCAGCATAGCTCCTCACAGCGCCAGGAACCTGAGTTCGATTCCACCCTCGGGCAACCGTGCGTGAGGAGTTTGCAAATTTTCCCTGGGTCTGGTTTTGTCCAGGTGCTCCAATTCCACCCCCTTGCCCCCCCAAAAAAGTCCAAGGCTAGGTGGTCTGTCCATAGGAAATGCAGGGTTACTGGGATAGGATGGGGGGATGGGTCTGAGTGGGATGCCCTACAGACGGTCAAGATGGGGTGAATGGCTTGCTTTCATACGAGAGGGATTCCATGAATCCATGTGATCTAGGGAGATCTACAGCGTTGTTAGGAAGAGGGTTCCAGGATTTTGATGCACGGACAGACCTGCAATATAGGATGGTGTGTGGCTCCGAGGGGCACTTGCAGATGGGGATGTTCTCATAATACTCTATTTCCCAAGCTCTCTTTTCCTTTTCACCTCACAGAAACACCACGCTGATCTACATCAACAACTGTAATGTAGTGAAGACTTTCTTGGTGTGTAAACTAATGTCACAAATGCACTTAAGTGGCAGGTAATACGATGTGCACGCTACAGCCATGGCACGGTGCATAATTGATCAAAGGCAAATGCATCGTCACCAGAAATACCTATCCTCTCGAATATAGCGACAAAATTAACGTTTTACAAACAAATAGATTGGGAACTCCGTGGAACAGGAGAGAACGATGTCCCACGTTCATTACTATCTCGTGTAATTTCACTGCATAAGAACATAACATGTGCACGTTGGCAGCAAATTAACATAAAACAATGTGTCCCCAATTTCTCAGTGTCTCCCTTTACGCAATTTAGTTTCGATTTTTTTTCAAAATAGCGCTAGAAAAGGATACAACCGGAAGAAACCCGTGGCTTAAACAAACCTCTTACTTTAAGAATTTCCACCAATGTTGTGTTTTAACCAGACAGTCCGGACTCGGTGCTGAGATTCTGAAATGCATACCGGGCACGAACTCTCGCATTTTTATGTTCGAAGTATCACCCCCGTCATTTTCCATTTGTGTTTCCCCCCCGCCAACCCCCAATGGATGTGAA